ATACAATTGGAAGCCACATGACACAAACCACCTCCATCTAAATTTCAGAAAATGTTAATGAAAAAGTATTGAACTTTAGGACAAGTCTGAAGCATCTAATGGCATGCAGGCTTTGAAGAATCCTTATACAAAGATAAAGCAAGAAGCCGCAAGAAGAGGAGCTTGAAGTAAATATAATTTACGTGCTACCCATTTCCAAAATGGTCCGATTTTATCTCAAATGAGAAGCACAAAATGACCACCTTTTGCAAAACTTGAGGGTTGGATTCTAGCAAATGGAAAACCCTTGCAGCTCCCATGTTATAAAGTTAATGACACTACAAGGATGAAATTTCTGTGTGTGATGCAATTCTGTCCAAAGGACACTATTTCACAGTACCATCACATAAGATGTAGTCATATCCATTTGGGAATTTTGAAGTGCAAGAAAAGAGGTTAAATATCCTTCTATGGTTAGACAAATGCTATCATCAAATATAGGGTATCCAAGTAAGAACTGAAATAAATACAAAAAGCCAAAATGAATTATTAAAGGATTTTTTAAAACTTGTTACAAAACACATTGAATAACAATGTAATAGCACATTGCAGATCATGACTGCTTGCCATGGGAATCCAGATGAGCTAATAACAGATAATGGCCCACAATTCACAAATGACTTATTTTGGTGATTTTCCTAATTTGTTAGATCAAGGACACTCTCATGGACTGGCAAAAAGAAATCAGTAAAAAACAGAGAATTTACTAGATTCATGGGATCCAGATGTAGCATTGTTTGTTTAGCACACACATGCATTATGCTTCATGAAGATCATAAGTTTAGAGAGAAATATGGTCAAAAGGAAAACATCCTTAGACATTGAACAATCATCTTCACCAAAAATATTTAACCCATAAGCAGTTAAAGGGCTATTTGCTTACAAATTAAAACAACACATGCCACTAGGATGCCAAAGTAAAACTCCATTATGGGCAGAAAATTTTCAATTTCTAATAGATCAGGGGCAGGCAATTATTTCGGGCGGAGGGCCGATTACTGACTTTTGGCAAGCCATCGAGGGCCGCATGAGAGGCAGCCGGGGCAGATAAATATTAATTTTCTAAATTTTTTAGTGGCCCCGTGGGCCAGATAGAATGGCCTGGTGGGCTGCATCCAGCCCGCAGGCCACATTTTGCCCACCCCTGTGATAGATAATATATGCTAGACTACCAAAGAATCCTTTCTTTGGCTCCAAGGGTCTTAGGTTATAATCACCCCTAAGGGTCACTTCTGAAGTAGGAACGGAAGGTAGCCAAACAAAACTGCAGTGAACACTGGCACACTGATTTTTGAGCACAATCAAAATATTCAAAGAACTAATAGCTTCCTGTCTGTCAGTGGAAAACTACCAGGAATAAGCTCAAAGGAAACAATTCACTTCAGTGGTTAACATGGACAGATCTAGGATATGAAAAAAGGGGTGAGGATGATGTGATGCCTTACCACAACACATATTTTTCTCCAGTTATAAAGGAACTAGAAGCTTTACTAATAAATTAAGAGCCCAGGGCTAAATACTTCTGTTTAAGACTGAAGCAAAAACAAATATAACGTTCTTTATTGGAATGTGCATTAATTTTCTATATCATATATTATGTATAAAACCCTAACAAAATAGACAAAAATAATCAAAAGGTGTTGTTCCATTAGTCCTGTAGTTATTAGAATTAAATTTGCATCTTTTTTTCAGCTTCATAAAGCAAAGTCTAGCCTTCTTGAGCATCTTGACAGTGTATCACTGAAAGTTATTTCCACATCTGAGTTAATGTTTTTAGCTAGATTTTAGCTAGATTTTATTACAAATCTTTGGGGCTATGAAACAGAAGCTACATTACCAGGAGCAGCTAACGGACAGCAGAAACACAGAAGAAAAGATAGTTTGATTAGTGGAACATCAAAACCATTAAAAAGGAGAGAGGGTCATTAACACCTGTAGATTGCAGAGTTTAGAAGGAATCGGGTCAATCAGGGGTTCCCAAATTGCGGTAAGCATACCCCTGGGGGTATGCAACACATCTCTGGGGGGGGATACGCAGGAGAAATTGTGTAATCGAGGATTTAATTTCCATAATAATAATTGGCATTTAAAGGGTTAAAAATATAAAACGTATGCTGGTAGGGGTACATGGGCCGCTGGTAAATCTGGAAGGGAGTACACAATAAGAAAAAGTTTGGGAACCTCTGAGATAGATTATAATGAGCCATGAAGTCAATTGACTTCTTGCTATGAAGTCAATGGACTCCCTCAGCACTGCCTGACTAGAAATGCTGCAACTGCACCACTGCACCCCCCTGGCTTCACATCTTGTGGGTAAAAGGCCTCCACCGAACGAGTTAGTATGAGAACATGAAGTGACCCCAAGGTTAGGAAATCATTCAGGTGGTAGTTATTTACAGATGTCTAATCCTCTGACTTCCAGCCTAGACGTCTCTCTTCATGTCTTTTATTAATTTGGCAGTTTGCCTGAGGTAGGAGTTTTAAGTTGCTGTTTCGTTTGTTTCTGTCATTAAAAAAAATCAGGGAAGATGCGATAGTAGCCGGTAGAGTGAGTGGTACTGACCATACCACATGAAAGGCGTATAACCTTTTGTAACTATGACCCATGTCATGACTAAGCTGGAAAGACGTTTCTTACAGACGTATCTCTATTAATAACAAACATCACATATCCTGACAGAATATGGGCTGTAAAATAAAAATAGTTAGCATGTCTTATTTCAGATCTGTCTAGCTTCATTTTCCAGCCACTTGCATGATCTTGCATGTCGTTTTGTCTGTTCAATTAAAGATCTCCATAGTATCAGATATCTTCTCCATGGCCGCGTCTAGACGAGATGCGGACTGTGCAGTAACGACTGCACAGTCATTTAGTACTTGTATAAACAGTAACCAGAGTTACTGTGCAGTAGTGCCGACAAACAGCTTCTTCATGATACTGACGGTGCAGTGGCCTGAGACTACCGCATAGTAGCGTCACGTCACGTCACGCTTCCTGCCACGTGACACTGCAATCAGTGTCTCATGTAGATGCGGCCCTTGTGTAGATATTTCTAGACAAATCAATATAGCCATTAACCTTCTCTTCAACTGGCAAAATCAAATGAGAATCTTAAATCTTTCATTTTCAAGGCACATATTCCAGCCCTCCACTCATTCTTGTGGCTCTTCTCTGAATCTTCTTCACTCGTACAACTTCCTCTTAAAAATGCAGATACCAGAACTGGAAGCACTATTTTAGTCATGGTTTCAGTAGTGGTACTGCATGCAGAGATAACATCACCTGCTTCCTCCTACTCGATACTCCCATTTATATAGCTAAGGATAGTGTTAGCATTTTTAAACACAGCATTGCTCTAGAAGACCATGGTGAGTCAGTTATTCACCATGACCCTTCAGCCCTTTTCAGTCACTGCTTCCCAAAATACAGTTCCTAATCCTGTGAACATGACTTGCAGTCTTTGTTTCTGGAGGCATGACCTTGCATTTAGCTATATAAAATCCATTTTGTTTGCCAAGAGATTCAGATCACTCTGCTCTGTATAATTGACCCATCATTATTCACCAGTCCACCAATCTTTGTGACACTTGCAAACTTCATTAGCATTCTTTCAGGTCAGTGATAAAATTAAGTAGCATTGAATTAAGGGTTAATCCATATTCAGACCCACCAGAAATGCCCCCATACTATGGTGATTCTCCATGAACAACTCCTGTGTTGAATTCTATCAGTTAGCCAGCATTTAAATCGAGGCAGCATTGTCCGGTACTGACTTTAAGTAGTGCTTTTTAAACATCAGGATGTCAGGTGGCACTAAGCCAAACATCTTCCAGACATCTAAACATCCTACATCAACACAGTTATTGAGAAAGCTTGTAATTGCATAAAAGTAGCACATTAATTTGACAGACCTATTACCCGTACATCTGTAAGAACTGAATATGTGTAGTAAGCACTCCACACACAGGTTAACATGTGTTTGCATATGGTGTTAGCTGAATGCAGGATGTGTTGATGGGCTCTGACAGAGGTAATGTTGGTGGTTTCGCTACACCAGAGTAAAGTATCAGTTATATGAATTATTCCTAGCTTACCAATACTAAAGCATTTACCGCTGGTGGAACTGCACATACCTCTCTATGCTCCGTAGTCCTGCCTGCATCATAATATGATACACATGAACAAGCATCCAAATTGTCATGTTTGTGAAACTGAAATTGTGACCTGTTTTTTGTTTGTTTGGTTGTTTTTTGCGGGGGGGAACCACGAGGAGAAAAAAGGGCTACATTTGGCAAATTGAACTGTTCAATGCAAATCATTCACCTGGTTCTTCATCTAAGGCTAAACTCTTATCTCATTTAAAGTAGGAGTGTACTGATGAAATTTTTTGATGACACAAAGTTAGGATTCATCTGCAGTACAAAAGAGTACTGGAATATTGCACAGGAAGACCTAGATGAGCTGGAGAACTGAGATAACATACATGGGTGACAATGCAATAGTACAAAGTGCAAGGTCTTGTACTTAGGAACTAATCACAAGAATTTCCATTGTAAACTGGGGACACATTGGCAGGAAACAACAGAGGAAAAGAAAGACATGGGTATATTAAATGATCACAGGATAACTATGAGCCACCACGGTGATGTGGCCATGAAAAAGGCAAAAGCAATCCTAGGACATACTAGACTAGAAAAAATATTTCCAATAGAAATATTCATACCAGTGAATAAATGCAGAGTAGTATGGTTCCAGTACAGTCCCTCACTAGAAGGAGTGAGAGGAAATAACTGGCTTTAAGAGAGAACTTGCTAAGGTTGTGGAACGGATTATGGTAGCTGGTTGCCTGGCACTGCAGGAGACTGGACTTGACCCCAGAGATCCCCCAAAACCAAACCATGAAACCAAATACAAGGTTCTGAGAGACAAAATACTTTTCTGTACAAGCCAGTGTTCTTACCTCCCATGAGGAAGAGAAGCCCCGCCACATACTGCATAAGGCCTCGATCCCAGCAGCATCCCAGCACCCCTATAATCCATCCGAAGAGGATGATGGCCACAGCCATGCCCATGAAGCCAGCTGTCATCCTGCGCAGGTCTGCAAAAGGAAAGAGAGTATAACAGGATGCTCATGAACTGTGGCAAATTGTTATCATCAGAGCTTCATTAGAATCTGAAAAGCAAAATAACCTCCTGTTGTGCAGAGCTGTCAGTGGTCAGCCCAGGAGGGTTTATGTCAAGATGGTAAAGGAAGGATGATCCATTACTTAGGATGCTAAGCTAGGGCTTCAGAGACCAGTGTTCATTTCTCTGATCTGCAACAGACTGCCTTGGGCATTCACATAATCTCTCTGGGCCTCAGTTCTCCATCTATAAATCGGGCCGATCAAACTCCCCTACTTCATAGGGGCAGAGTGATTGTTCAGCCTTCAAACAGTGTGGTGGGGTCATATAAATAGGCTGGATCAGAGCACAGGGAAGAGTATTTTTCTTCCTTGCCTCAGGCTAGGGGTGTGAATATTTCAAATGAGTTTTTTAGTTGTTGTTGGTGGTTTTTGGTTTTTGGTTGGGTTTTTTTTTTTTTGGGGGGGGGGGGGTGTTGGTGCTTTTATCAGTTCTGACAAGCAGCAGCAGAGCTGAGGGCCGGTAGAGGGCTGGGAATGAAGCAGCTAGGTGTACTGTAGGTCAGGCATGTGGGGCACCAGCACAATGGTGTGTAACGCCTTGTGTCTGGCCTGTTTGCGCCAGAAAATGACACATTTATGAGCATGTTTTCAAAACACAAAAAACCCTCTACATCAAATTTTCCTGTGTCCCATGTCAGGGGGCACGTCTACACATGATGCTATGTCTCTGTAGCAACGTGCTATGGCAATGTAGCATTGGCAGGCACAAATCGTGATGCCATGGCTACGTCACTGTAGCAACACACTCCCTCGGTATAGCATGTTGCTACTGTGATGTAGTGGCTAAAAAAAAACGTGCGCCGCCGGCATGGCACAGTATGACCTGTTACTGCATCATCATATAGTAAATGATGACACAGTAACAACGGCACTGTAGGGGCACATATACACGTCCAGTGTTCCCCTAACGCGGAGGGACTGTGGCACTAACATTGCCCAGCAGTACACAGGAGAAAATAAAACATTTTTACAGGGATTTCCTGCATGAAATGTGAAGCTGGAGAGTCTACACGGTGACTAAAAAAGCACAGGATGCTACTACTAAACAGGACCTTGACACTCTCCCCGATGAGGTAGCAGAGTGCAGGGCACTCAAAGGAACAAGCAGCTCATTCAGCTACATCCAAGCACGCACGCAAAGTGTAAGCACCACCAAGCAAAAATACGCAGATAGGAAAAATGCCAGTTGAGCCAGCTCCTCAAACATGCTCCCACCCACTGGAAGCAAATTTTATTTGCATTGAATTTTTTCCCCTTCTTTTAAATAACAGAACGCACATGGGGGAAGGGAGGGGAAGAGGGGGATTTGTACACAATGAATCAGCCATTGGTCTCTATGGCAGCGTTTCTCCCTGGCTTAAGTAATGGAAAACGTGGCCCAACAGCAGTGCTAACAAACTTTTTTTCTTTTTGCCCTTTTGCCTTGATGGATTAAAAAGATATCCAATGCCCTGAGCCTATGCTTGAAGGCCCTCCTGAGATTTGACAGTTTAGGTTTTCACATGGCTACCTAGCCCTTAACACTTGTGCAAGGTAGAGAATGCAAACCTTCCTGTACCCATAGTATTATCCCCATCCAACATGTCCTTGTCCCTTTTTCTGTTTTGCTTTGTAAACAGGACAATAGTCCCTTAGCTCTGGGGCAGAAGGATTATTGGTAAGCCCTGCTCTTAGAGAAAGCAGGTCTTAAACACCCTCTTTGTATCTTACTCGGAGGGAGTGTTTCATGGTTGCCCAACCGAAAAACAAAAGTGAAGAGAGAATCCAGAGGATTTGAATATATCCACAGCATGTCTGGTACAGAAAAAAAAATGGTACTTCCTAAAAGCCCTGTCATGGTACCTTCTTTTCTGGGATTTTTCAGAGCAACTGTATTTTAACTCAAGAAGTAAATCTGTGTAGGCATATTTTATGGCAGAGTAGCTTGGAATAATAAGTAAAGATGTGATTCAAATCACAAGAAAGTGAGAAACGTACAGAGTCTGCAGGCCACTGCCTTATCTTCAATGACAGCAAAGCCTGCATCACAAAACTACGGCAAAATTGTCTGTGTCACCTTGCAAGAGGCCCCTGATTTTACCTAGGCATTGCTAATTCAAGGTAGGAACACGCTTGTTTTCCCAGTGAAGAGTTTTGAGCTTTAAATAGTCTAAATCAGCTCCAAGATGGTACTAAATACAATCTGAGAGTTAACCCTCAAGCATCCATCCCGATGACTTGCTTGATGGAGCCACTTTGAAGAGGGGTATGGCAGGGGTTCAGAAGCCCTTTCTTTTCACCTACCAAGAGAAGGGCCAGTTTCTGCTACAGTTAAATCAGTGGGACTCTGAAATTAAATTTCTAGGGGGTTTTCTAGTGCTGAGGTCCATTTCCAGCTGAACTCCCATCTTGAGAGGGATCAGTACTTGTCAAAACACCAAGGCAAGGTCCATTAGCATCATGACAACACTAGTCTATGTCCTTTCCTGCAAACAGTGAGGTTAACATGTGGCTGAAATTTCATAACAACAAGAAAAGTTTTATGTTCTTTGAAAAACTCCAACTCCCCAAAGTTGTCCACTTGGCTCCGTTAAAAATTCCCACTGCTCTCCTTGTTCAACTCTGCTCCACACAAGCCTTTCCATTAGGCTTATATGAAAGAGATCAAATATAAAGTTTCTTTTCTGTTCAAAACCATCTTGGTTTCTGTCCTGTCGTAACACTCTCTGAGGGCACCACTTGCAAATAGCAACGGTGGGAAAAGGGAATTGTAAGCTAATTTCAGAAATAGCCCTCATTTGTCCAACAGTATCGCCCTGGCATTATTCAGTTGTCAGAGCTTGCACGAAGGAGATGTCAGTGCTAAGGACAAGACTATTCAAAGTGATTCTTCCCTGGAAAAGGACTTAATATATATAATGTAGCGCACTACTGAATCAGCACCCTTAGGCTATTTAGGGAGGAGGAGGCCAGAGAGGAGAAGCCTGTCTTTCCTAGACAGGAACCTCTATTAGTAGTAGCATTACTATTACTGTTTTGTTTGGATGACATTTGACCAGGAAAACAGGGTGGAAAGTCAAGGGTTTGCTCTGCACTTCTAAGGCATTGATTAGCTCTCTTTGGCTGTTGGCTTGGGAAAGGGAGGATGCTACATGAATGAATGAGGCACAGGAGGAAAGTAGTGAGTGGTGTTTGGTTTTGAGTTTGGTTATCTCTGGGGATACTTCTTGTTTAAAGATGCCCTGCAATGGTCAATCAGATTATAATGTTTGCTCTCTGACTGTTTGTGTGGTATGGGAAGAGATCCTGGAAGTTTAAAATCTAGGGGTTTTATTTTTTTTTTTTTGGAAAACTCTCTGGATGACTTGAAAACCCACAGGTTTAGGACAGCACAAGGAAGTGAAAGTGAAGGTACATCTATGTTAAAGAAACACCATGCTCCAAATTATGTTGATTCAAATGAAGCACTGCAAGTTGAAAAATGGGTTTACTGCTTCCTCACTTCCGCACTTGGGACTTTCTGCACTGAATCCCACCGTTCTGCAACAGGCGCAGATGCTACAGCTGTAATACAAATCCATATCTACAGTATAATCTGTGTTATGATATATAGTGCTGTTTGAAATTAATCACATCTTTTGGAAGTGTAGCTAAATGTCATCATAAAGCAGGTTATTACAATGTTTATTCTGTAAGGACTATAGTTTGAGTACAAATTCTGTGGCTGGTTGGTTGCTAGTCTCAGTGGTTTCCCAAACAGGTTTTCAATATGAGTATTAAAACCACAGGGGGACACAAGCACTCTTCATTTCTTTATGGCTAGATGGACTAGTTGTCTTGGTTTTTTCCCCCCACCGTAATATGGGGCTAAGATATGGGAAAGGCTGTAAAATACTTGTTTTCTCCAAAGATTGCTTCCTGTTAGTTCTGCCTCTGCCAAAGCCCTGTGAAGGCAGCTCTAGAGATTATCATGCTGTGCAGAGATATCTGGCAGAGATTACTCGAGCTATTTCTCCTTATTTCCTGACCAACTGTGGGCCTCGTGCCTGGGAATCAATTGTGACCTCTCTCTGTGGATGCTGCTGCTCCAGAAACTAAGTACAGTTCCCTTTCCTTTTGTGTAGCTCTGTGGATAGCAGCTATTGTGGAGTTTTTTGATGTTTACCCCTTCTAATTTCTAAATGCAATGTGGTTTCTTTCTCACTGGGGTTTGGTCCCTGGGATACAGAACTCTTTCTCTCCTCACTCCAAAAGCCAACTCAGTTCTCCATTTCATCTGTCTGGCTCTTAACCTCTCCTCAGAGATATTACTCCCTCCCTTCTTCTTGTGGTAGGGTTGCCATGCATCATTACTCCAAAGATACCGTCAAGGTCCCCAGTGAGAACCAGCATCTGATTGTGTAGCCCTGCCGAGGGTGTCCTCATCCCCACACACAGCATTGCTAACTCCCACAATTTTCTAGAAACCCTTCCTTGTGATTTTTCTTTCTGTCATTTGACTACATGAAATCCTCAGCTGTCATTTTAAAGAAGTAATCTCTGCCCTTAAAGCTGGCTGTGAAGAACAAACCATACTTCAGATGGGTAAGACAAATAGAAAAGAAACCAACATTCATTGTTTCTTTAAGCCTGGTGAATTTTAAAGTAATTGCATAATATGGGAGGGAGGGGGTTGATCCATGGTTTAACACCTGAAGTTGGCAACACCACACAAATGAAAAGAACTATAAAACTGAACATGACAATTTAGCAGAGATTTGAACGTGCAGGCTATGTTGTTCAAAAACCTTTTAATGATAAGTCTACCTGGCTTCAGATGAGAAATTTCACTGAACTAAAATACCATGTTGGCTTTTTTTTACACCTTTGATTCAGTGACATTTTCATTCTGTACCAGAGTTTTATTCAGTACAAGGAGAGTGTCAACACCCCC